TTGTTGTTGATCATTACTTTTATTGCTGTTTGTGAGACATTGCTACATGCAAACCGGCTGCCACATTCACCTACAAAAACACAGTATCTACACTTTACAATAAATCCCGTGAAGTGATCTTTTACATTTACCTGAACAAGGAGATAAGATCCTTCTCCCCCCACCTCTCCACCACCCCAACCCCTTTTGTTTGAACTCCCAGTGAGGTATGTGAATGCTTGGAATTGCCCTGACATGAAAAGACATCTGCCAGATGTGAATGGTGCAATAATCAAATGCAGGGATTATTATTATATTTTTTAAATAATTGATGGTTTCTGTCTTTTGTAGAAGACACATTCACCGAAAATAGAAATAATATATTGATATTTACTTTAGCCTAACCCTTCATCACCCTCCTGGTATCAGCCCGGCTCAGTTTGCAGCTTCTGAGCCAGACAATTGTGGGTCCATACCTCACGTCAAGATTTTGAGCTCCCAATCTAGGTTGACCCTGCAATACAGTACTGGAGAACCACAGCATTGTCAGAGATGCCGTCCTTCAGATGACATGTTAAACCAAGATCCTGCCTGTCTGTTCAGGTGGATGCTAAAGATTCCATGGCACTATTCAAAAAGATAAGGGGTGTCCTGGTGTCCTAACCAATAGTCCTCGAGATAAAACTGATCATTTATCTCATGGTTATTTGTGCGACATTATAGTTGCAAATTAGCTGCCACATTCATCCACAAATACATAGTCACTAGATTTTGCAGTAAATCCTGTGAAGTTTTTTTGAAACATTTCAACAACATGATAAGGTGCTATACCAAATTCAAATTTGACAATAAAATACAATTTACATTTATTCAGCGCCTTTCGTGTCATAGTACATAGTACATAGTCATGGCTGGCTGAGCACCTTATTCAGTGTTATTGTAACCTTAATCCTTGATCAGGACTTGAACTTTTTCATCTCTAGTTAAAAAAGCCTTAACTTTTCACATCTCTGTGCAAAAATAAAACTCATCCCTGGTAGCATCCCAGTGAATATATGGTGTACTTTTTATTGTTTTTATATGCTTTCTATAATGGGTACCTAAAGCCGTATACAATGCTTTAACTGTGATCTGACTTGTATAAATTCAACATTGCCTCTTTGTTTTTGCATTCAATCCCTCCAGATATAAATCTAAGGATTGTGTTTTTTATGGCCTTATCTACCCATGCTACCACTCTTAATATACCTCCTTATTATGTTCTCTGTTTTTCTTTTCCATTTTAAATTTTACCACTGAAGGTTTATTTCCTTCTCTAGTTTAAAGAACTATGTGCTGCCCAATTATGAAACCCAAACCCAAGTCAGAAAAAAAGGCCAATGAGTTCAATTCGCAAACAGCAAACACACATCACTCTGTAATGCTGGGTGTTGAAGCATTCCTGAGAGTAGCCTTGAGCAAATCAGTGCTTACAATTTTGACCCTTAACAAAAGATTACTGAGTAACATGGCTTTACAAAATTAATGGGATTTACAAGAATAAAGCCCATTCATTGTGTGACATCTATCAGAATCCAAGTGAGGTGAAACAAATGATCTGGGAAGCCATCACATGCTATGATCATATGGCCCAAAATCTACCCAATCTCAGGCTGTAGGACAATTTTGACTTAAAATTCAAGATTACAGAGATTTGGCGAATTTTTCTTGTGGAAAATTGTCTTCTAAATCAAGACTGGATTTAAACATTTTTATGCCATCTTAAATTTTAAGTCAAAATGATCTTACAAGCTACAACTTGAATTTCAGACCCATAGATTTTTTTTCCCCATACAGAGTTCTTAAAAACTGGAATGCCTTATCACAAATAACTGTTTAAGATGTGTTCATATCAGCATTTAAAAGTGAATTGGACAAATGCTTGAAGAAAAATAATAGTGGGGTAAAGTGTTTCCTAATTAGTACAAGAAAATGTTCTCAATCACAGCAAACATCTGGGAAGAAATTCCATCTGGGTCAGATTTATTCTATTAACAGCAATTTTGCCAAATTCTAGAAACTTTAAATTGCTTCATTAATAGAGTAAATCTAGACCCAGACGGAATTTCTCTGTATTTATTCCTTATTTATTATTATTATTAGGCGTACACCAGTGATGACTGACCTGTCAATTAGATGTCAATAACAATAATCCTTGCATTTGTTATTGTGCCTTTCATGTCGGAGGTTATCTTAAAGTTCTGCACAGGATGTACTATAAAATGTAGTGACTGTATTTTGTAGGTGAATACAGCAGTCAATTTGCACACAGAAATGTGCCACAACATGCATAAGTGTAAAGTGCTTTGAGATACTAATTTTATCTGTTGGATTATTGCCCAGGACATTGGGAGAAACTCCTTTTTCTTCTTGAATCATGCCATGGGATCTTTAATAACCACCTGATCAAGTAGATGGGGCCTTTCACATACAGAGTCATTGGAGTATGGAATTCTCTGCCATAGTCAGTTGTTGGGGAGACAACCATGTACACATGCAAAAACAACAACAACAAGATCCCATTTATAGAGCGCCTTTCACGTCGGGAGGACGTCCCAAGGCGCTGTACAGTTGGGTCAGGACCCGAGCAGGGGGGAAATGGTCAGGGTGAGGGGAGGGAAGGGAGGGAGCGAGGAAGGGGGAAATGGTCAGGGTGAGGGGAGGGAAGGGAGGGAGCGAGGAGGGGGTAGAGAGTCGAGAGGGGGGCTGAAGGCACGGTCAAAGAGAAAGGTCTTGAGACCATCCTTGAAGGAGGAAAGGGCGGAGGTAAGGCGAAGGCACTGGGGGATAGAGTTCCAGAGCCTAGGGGCTGAGAGGCTGAAGGCCCGGCCACCGATGGTAGGGCGGTTGGGGTGGGGGATGTGGAGCAGACCGGAGCCAAAGGAACGGAGGGTACAGGCAGGTAGGTAGGGGGATAGTGGGTCGGAGAGGTAGGAGGGAGCAAGGCCATGAATGGCCTTGTAGGTGAGGATGAGGATCTTGAATTCAACTGGACTGGACATATGGTTGAGAGAGAATCAAGTTCAGGTTTGGGGAAAGGGCTAAAATATAAGACTAAGGATAAGATCTAGGAAGGGAACTCAGGTGGAGTGTTGGTACTAGCCAGACTGGATGGGCCGAATGGCCTGTTTCTGAACTATACTTTCTATGAATTTATCTATACAGTGAACTCTAGGCCACCAATAGTCATCAACTCTCTTCGATTGGGAATTGAAGTAAAAAATCTGAGGATTCAATGTCATGATTCTTAAATAATAATAATAATCCTTGCATTTGATATAGCGCTTTTCACGTCAGGAGGATGTCCCAAAGCGCTTCACAGAACACACTGTAAAGTGAATTGACTGTATATATTTGTGGGCGAACTCGGCAGCCAATTGCGCACAGCAATGTCCCACAAACAGTCGTGGATTGAAAATGACCAATTTTTTTTTTTTTTTTGGAGGGATTATTATTAGGCGTGTGGAGTAAGGAAACTTGCCCAAGGTTTCGCCCTCTGCCTGGAATTGAACTCAGGTCTCTCACTTGCAAAGCGAGTGCTCGAACCACTGAGCTACAGGACTCCTGAAAATGTAATGAAATGTAATGAAATAGCAAATGAAAGGTTTAAAAACAAAAGGACCTGAAATTTCACCTAACCTTAGCCCCTAAGATCATTTTGCCTTAACATGTAAGATCATGCAGAATTGTGGAAAATTCTTAAATTCAATCATAATTCAGAAGCCGACTTTCTTAAAGTGAACTAGTTTCTAAATTACGAATTTACTAATTTTCCATAGTTTTCCGTGATATTAAATTCTAATGCAAAATTGTATATTTTTTTCTGTCAGAAGGGGTTATTTGTACAGTCTCCCTCTGCTTTAGACCAAGCGTTCTCTGGCTGAGAAAGCAGCCAATTGACCTGTTCTCTGGCTTGCAGCCAATACTGCTTTGGAGCTAGCTGCTGAGAAGCACGAAAGACTATCCTCGGCTGACTCACCATCTGATTTTCCTTTGCTCTCTGTAGGGACGATCTTGGCCCCCATTCATGATCTTCTTTAGCAGCTGAGGTAAGGAGCTTACCATGTGAGGAATTGGCACAACTGTGTGTTCTACCAACCCCTGACACAATGCACCAGCAATGTACCAACTCTTCTTCACCCTTCCAATAACACTGCATATTGTAGTTTATAATTTATGAATATTATTGCTGATTGTATTGATGCTCATCAACTAATGGATATGCTGCCAAAATTTAATCCACAAAAATAAGCTTGTGGAGTCCTGTAGCTCAGTGGTTAGAGCACTCAGTTTGCAAGTGAGAGACCTAAGTACAATTCCAGGCAGGACGAAACCTTGGGCAAGTTTTCTTACTCCACACAGAACCTAATAATAATCCCTCCAAAACCAAAAACAATAATAAATTGGTCATTTTCAATCTACGACTGTTTGTGGGACATTGCTGTGCGCAATTGGTTGGCGCGTTCGCCCACAAATATACAGTCAATTCACTTTACAGTGTATTCTGTGAAGCGCTTTGGGACGTCCTCCCAACGTGAAAAGCGCTATATCAAATGCAAGGATTATTATTATTATAAAACAAAAAAATTAATTGTAGTCATTAATCTTTAGAATAAAATTTAATTAAAGAAAACAAATTATTCTTACCATTGAAAGGACATATTCTGTGCTGTCATTTTAGTTCATCCAGGTAATGGTAATTCATGAGAGAGACTACAGAAGACAGGAAGTGAAAACCATTGAACTAAAGCTTAGAATGGAAGATATTTTGTGCCAAGGTGAAATAAAACAAATCCAATTCAGATTCCTTGAGCTCCTGACTAATGGATGAATTTGCCAAATGGTCTTTACACCTTTCTTGACATGTGTATTGGCATTTCCCCACATTCTATGCATGCATTTGCAGATATTTGAATCTGCTGTGTGTCTCACTGCACTGGCATTTGGTTATTTTATTCTCCCATCATTAATTTACCTCCAACATGATAAGCAACCAGAATTTGAAGCCACAGCAGCAAAGTGAAGTGTTTGTCTTAGTATAACTTGTTTTTAATGATGTAATATGTATGTGAAGAAGGCTCAGCTCCTGGAATTCTAGAGACCTTGACTTCTGATCCCAAAGGGTTCAGTGGAAACGAATGCATGTGATTCCTCTGCCAGGTTGGCTGAGGCATTGGGAAGATTCTCCCCAATTTCCCAAGCACCACAGTGTGAAATCTCATCTATGCTCTCCAGTGTTAGACTGTGGGAATTGTTGTTATCTTTAACATTGGCTTGACAAATACCCAAAGCAATTTCATCCACCCCCGGGAACAAAACACTCATCCTATGTTGTGAAATACAGCAAATTGGAGTTTTGTTTTGTTTGTTGTCTTTTTCTTTTCTCCTGAAGATTGTGCTGGGCTTCAGCTTCACAGGCATTAGTGGTCCTCTGTTACCTTGTCCAAGTAACCATTCTTCATTTGTGAGGCTAGACTTGGAATGGCATGTGAGCTGATTCACTGTGGAAGTATCACACCTGAGGTTTGTTTGCACACATATCCCCCACCCCTCCCCACACACACACACAAAACTCATATACATACACAGAAACACAAACCACACACACTTTCTATCAGAGGTCACTGGATATCAATCAGCAAAGGGATAGCCAGGTGATCAGCACCGAGCAGTGATTGAGCCAGGAACCACTTAGTGTAAATGTCTCAGCACCACAATATATACCACATTTACTCACTGACTCATCAGGGAAAACTCAGAGCATGTATTTAAATTTTCAAAACAAGAATCTTAGACTGCTTAGATTGTGGAGTCCTATAGCTCAGTGGTTAGAGCACTCGCTTTGCAAGCGAGAGACGTGGGTTCGATTCCTGGCAGGGTGAAACCTCGGGCAAGTCTCCTTGTGGTCTGCACCCCTGCTGGGGGAGAAATTCCACCTGGATCTACATTTACTCTATTAACGTAGCATTTCAGAACATTCAGAATTTTGCAAATTGCTGAATTCAAGCTGAACTTTGAAGGCTTTATTTGTGGTTCTTAAAAGTACTTGTAGAAAACTTGCCGGTTTCAAAATTCTAGCTATGTTTAAGAATTTGTCAAATTCGGAATGTTCTGAAGTGTTACATTAATAAATCCACACGCAGGTGGAATTTTTACACCTAACATGGCTTATGCATATCAAAGGACTTTTGATTCTGAAGATTACTGGAGGCGGTTTATCGCAAGAATTATGAGAATAATAAATCTTTTATCCAGAAAACCTTTAGTGGTATTATTTCTCTATGTTTCTTTCCTCCTGGTTTCCAGCAGTTTGAGGACATCTATCGCTGTCTTTTCACTATCTACTTTGTTCCCCCCCCCACCCACCGCTTTCTTAATATTTTGCAATTTCAAGATAAATTAGTTTGAATGATAATTTTACTTAGGAGGTACAATAATTGTGTTTGGTTTTGAAACAGATGGATGGAGTGCTTATATCATATGGTAAAGGCCACACCCATTTTAATCACTCTAGCTGTTTGTGAGACAATGTTGTGGGACATTGCTGTGGACCCGTTGACTGCCGCACTCACCTACAAAATACAGTCAGTACACTTTACAATAAAATCCAGTGAAGCACTTTATTATGACTATTGTGCACAACATGATGTGTACAACTTGGTGGGGAGGGAGTGGGGGGGTTCTGTTTGTTGCTTTGCGCGTAGCAAATTTATTGTTTTTGGTTTAGCACTATTCTGCTAAGGTCCACTTATAAATAACTGGAATGCAATTTGACATTACAAACATAAATAAGTACCAAGACAATGTAAATATGGAATTAAATAATGTTTTGAAATGTCACTACATTTATTCATAAGCACACAGAGACCAATTGATTTAGCTTACCAAATGAAGCAGAATCACGTCGACAGATCTACTATAAGGAGTACAAGCAGCAGAATAACTCCCAGTGTGATTTAAAACTTCCTATTAAAAAAAACTCAAAAAATCACAAAGTGTCAAACCACCAGATCATTTGCATCACCCTGGATTAAGATGGATGCACTTTCTATGTTCATTCTTACATCCTTATTTGGCAGGCTTCAAGTTTCAAACTTTAAAACTGCGTTAAATCCATGCCATGTTTACACTGATATATTGTTGGATATATCTGAATCATTGTACAAATGCACTTTAATTGAATCAGTGTGTGTATGCATGCATATATATGCACTTGGGGGGCAGTTTCCTCTTGAGTTACAGCTGTGATGTGCACTAAATTGAAGAAAAGTAAGCCAAGACTTGCTTACACAGACTCTATTTAACTCTTTTGTTACCTAAGGTTTGAATTGAGACTCCAAGTCTCTTTCAGCTCAGCAGTTCTTGACTCACCAGCTGCAGCCACAGTTCCAAAGTATGAGAAGGTTGTTTTCCACTTGAAAGCTTATAAGGCAGTGAGTCCAAACTGTTGGGACAGGTTTTGCTCACTGTAGCTAAACATTTCCTTTACAGATGATCTCCTTTGTGACCAAGCAGTAATGTTGTTGTCAATGATGCCGCCACATTTTCTTGAGACAGTCACATTTAACAACATCTGGAAAATCTGGTGGAGATCCAATCTCCCATCTGAATGTTCCCCACTTGGTTGTTGGTTGAATAACGTTTATCACATTATTATCTCTCAGCCAACAGCAGATGCTTAGTCTCCTGGTGAGAAGTGAAATTAGAAGGAGGCTTCATAGCCTGCTTTGATTAGGATCTTTTAAAAACATTTCACAGAGTTGACACTTTGAGGATCCATTGCTTGAAAGGAGCCATAACATATTCAAAGAAACCGCAGTGCAGCTTGTCAGAAAGGAATACTGTTAACCCGAATACCAAGTTCCCTTAATTTCCTTCTAGAAGGGAGAAGGCTCTTCGGCTTCTGCTGTGAATCTGTAAGCACATTGAGAGAAAAGGAGATGATATCTCCACCTTCCTCATCTGGAGGAAGGGAAGGTCAATTTAACGTCAAGTTCAAGAGGAGTAAGGAATTGAAAAGAAAGCTGAGGACATCTTAAGTTCAGCAATAAAGTCAAAAGAGACTTCCCTCCACAGATAGAACAAAATAGCAATAAGATAACAAAAGTATAATTCCACCTGCGTCTGTCTGCTCTGTGCACACTGAGAGCAGCCTTGAGTTTCTGGAAGTAAAGAGAAAAGCATGTGTTTTAGCACCAAACATTGCTGCACAATTTAAAATTACAGCTTAATGTCAGCCTTGTTGACTGTTTTTGTAGACATAGCAGTTATTTTGCACACCACAAGGTCATATAAACAGCCCCCAAATTAATAAACTGTACATTTACTTATTGACTGTTTGTGGGATATGCTATGTGCAAATTGGCTGTTGTGTTTGTCTACAAAATGCACAGTCATTTTAGAGTAAAATACTGTGAAGGGTTTTGAGATGATCTCCTAATGGGAAAGGGTTGTATCAAATATAAGGATTTTTTAAAAAATAATTTTTATCTGGAGATTTAGCAGAAAGTGTTAAAAAATCTTGTACACTAGGGTATTTACTATGAAAAATATGTCTAAGCCCCTCTGAATTGTTAGCTCCTCAGGGCTCTAAGGCCCAGTCCTGAGTTAGCTGATCTCAGCAGGGGCAGGAGTGGAGTATAATTGGCTTCAGCTCTATGAGCCAGATGGAAAAAGTCAGCTAAGTTTCTTGCTTCTGTTTGTTCTCTAGAATCCTTTGCTGGAAGGTGCACATGCGTGGATATTGGAGGTGAGGACAAAAATCAGGTACAACAACAACAACAACAAAATTCCATTTATAGAGCGCCTTTCACGACGGGAGGAGGTCCCAAGGTGCTGTACAGTTGGGTCAGGACCCGAGCAGGGGGGAAATGGTCAGGGTGAGGGGAGGGAAGGGAGCGAGCGAGGAGGGGGTAGAGAGTCGAGAGGGGAGCTGAAGGCTCGGTCAAAGAGAAAGGTCTTGAGACCGGCCTTGAAGGAGGAAAGGGAGGAGGCGGCGAAGGCACTGGGGGATAGAGTTCCAGAGCCTCGGGGCTGAGACGCTGAAGGCCCGGCCACCGATGGTAGGGCGGTTGGGGCGGGGGATGTGGAGCAGACTGGAGCCAGAGGAACGGAGGGTACGGGCAGGTAGGTAGGGGGATAGTAGGTCGGAGAGGTAGGAGGGAGCAAGGCCGTGAATGGCCTTGTAGCTGAGGAGGAGGATCTTGAATTCGATCCTCTGGGGGATGGGGAGCCAGTGGAGGCGAGCGAGGGTGGGAGTGATGTGGTCCCGAAGCCTGGTGCGGGACAGTACACGAGCTGCAGAGTTCTGAATGACCTGCAGCTTGTGGAGGGAGGTGGCGGGAAGGCCGGCGAGGAGAGAGTTCCCATAGTCCAGCCTTGAGGTGATAAAGGAGTGGACCAGAGTTTCAGCAGCGTGAGGGGTGAGGTAGTGCCGTAGTCTGGTGATATTCCGGATGTGATGGAAGGCGGTGCCAGTTGTGGCGCGGATATGAGGAAGAAAGGACAGCTCAGGGTCGAACAGAACACCGAGGTTCCTGACTGGCTTTGAGAGGTGGAGAGTGCAGTCTTGAGGTGCGGAGGCGCTGACGCGAGCCAATCAGGAGGGCCTCAGTTTTACGCACGTTGAGCTGAAGAAAGTTGTCTCTCGTCCAGGACTCGATGTCGGACAGGCAGCTGTCAGGACATCGGTGGTCGTGGAGTTGAGGGTAGAGGAGGAAAGGTAGAGTTGGGTGTCATCTGCATACATGAGAAAGTTAACCCCATGTCTGCGGATGATTTCACCAAGGGGGAGAATATAGAGGGTGAAGAGGAGGGGACCGAGGACAGAGCCCTGAGGGACACCGCACGAGACAGTGCGGGGGCTGGAGGAAAAGCCGTTTGTGGAAACAAAATGAAGACGGTGGGAGAGGTACGACCTAAACCACTCAAGGACAGGGCCTTGAAGTTTGAGGTGGGAGGACAAGCGGTGGAGGAGGATAGCGTGGTCGACCGTATCGAATGCTGCTGATAGGTCGAGGAGGACGAGGAGGCAGAGGGAGCCCTGGTCGCAGATGGTCAGGATGTCATTGATGACCTTGACCAGGGCGGTTTCTGTGCTATGGGCAGCACGGAAACCCGACTGAAGGGGTTCGAATAATGAATGGGTGGAGAGGAAAGAGCGCAGCTGGGAGGCGACAATTCTTTCGACGACCTTGGACAGGAAGGGGAGGTTGGAGATGGGCCGGTAGCTTGATAGCTGCAACGCATCAAGGGAGGGTTTTTTCAAAGTGGGAGTGATGGTGGCAGTTTTTAGGGGAATGGGAACAGAGCCAGAGGAGGTATGAAAGCTCACACACAGATAAAGGCCACTTGAAGAAGGTATAAAAAATGACAACCCGCATCTATGGAACCATATCCTTTGATGAAAACAAAGGAGCCACAAGATTGGATGGATGATAAAAAACCTTAAACCCATTTGATTTCATTCCTCCAGAATGTACATATGGTCAAAAACAACAACAACTTGCTTTTATATAATGTTGTTCACAGAGACTCAGGGAAAGAGAGACTCAGGGAAAGATTTTTTGGGTCAGCCCATTATCTGACATATGTGAAAACTCATCATCGTGCTTAAGAGGATCCAAACCAAACTGAGAATTCCATGAATCCCACATCACTTGGAAATTCCAGATATAGATGGTTGGAAATAGAATGCACACTCTCTCCCTGGAGGGATGCATTTCTGCTTACCTAATTCCGGAAAGTATTAGGCGCAGTTTGGCAAGAGCCAAGGCTTGGGAATCTCGGAGTGTGCATTGGGGTATTGTTGGAGTTTAACCAGCTAAAACCACATAGCTTGCCATTGAGAGCACTATTTGTCAAGCTTTCCTGCTGCTTGTCCAGCTAGGACCACCCTACCAGTTAGGGCTTTGGTTTGCAGGGTTAGCAGGAGCTGAGTGGGAAGAATCCCTGCCCCAGTGACTGGTTTGCCCTTCCATCTCCTGCTGATGAGCCAGGTTGGTTGGACTGTCATCAGCTGTGGCCTGGAATACTGTGGACCCGCCTGGCTCAGGAACTGGACTACTGAGACCACCACAGAGAGTGGGTTCAGATTCTGACATTCCGTTGCCGAACATATCACCTTGTAGCCAATTCAGCTCCAAGGAGACCCCACTTATCCTCCCCAAGGAGGATAGTCAGAGAAAAAAGCACAGAGAGAGAGAGAGAGAGAAAACAAAGAGTAAAACAGAATAAAAATTAGAATCAGAGAGAAAGTGTGTGTGTGAGAGAGAGAATAGGGCTGACACAGTGAAGTACTGCAGAAGGAAAAAAATTTCAGTTGGCACAGAGCAATGTTGTATTTTGCATGATGTTAAATCATTCACATTGTTTGCTTCTCTGTAGAGGGGTCAGTCCCAATTGGTATGAATAAATGTCTCTCTACTGTTGTACAAACCAAGCAACAAATTGCTGGCGTGGTCAGGGAAATGCACAGCCAATTTTCCAAGTATTCAGTTCATTCACTGTGACAGAGAAATAACAACCGTGTTAGAATTACAGTTATTTCATTAATGGAAAGAGCTCTATGACTGTAATACTGTAATATCCCTAGACTACAAGAAACAACAGTTAAAGCAATGTTAAGGAAAAGAAAACTACAGTTTTGAAAACAAATTGGCACCGCTCCTGCATTATTGTCCAATTTCTCAGTCAATAGTAAGACACAGCAGAAGATTAACACAGCACGTGAGTTATTAGATCCAAAGGAGGAATTGAAGGATGCAGACAATTCACTGGATGGATCCCTGAGACCCTGAACTTGTCCTCAGCACTCAAAGTGTTAATACAGGTCAAGGATGTTCAGGTAGAGAAGTGTGTTAACTGGAAGAGGTACAACATTGGATTAAGGTAAATGAAGACTGTGCGGCCTTTTCAGTCTTTAGAAGCAGCACTTGGGAACTCTGAAGTAAAATTGCCTCAGACTTATCAGAGCCAGGTTTGGCTTTTATTTGACAACAGGTTAGTTTCACTTTGACAGTCACTCTTTTGGAAGCTCCCAGCTTTGGTGCTCTTTGACAACATATTTTATTTAAATTGATCAAACATTTAGTAATTAAAATAATTCTAGCATAGGCGAATTTAGAATTCTGTGTGTAATTCAGTCTTCAATCTTAAAATTCTGCTCAATTAAATCAATACAATATAATTTATTTTTCATGTCAGGAGGACGTCCTAAAGCATTTATATTTATGGAGCTTTTATTTTCATCTCAAGGTATGTTGCCCTTTTATTGCCAAACTCTGGTGGCCTTTTGAAGTTGGTGGCGGTTCTGCTTTTTAAGATACCAGAGGAATGCTCACACCCATGGGACCATTCTTTAGTAGAAGTCAGTGGTCTCAGAAAAGCAGGGATAGAGAAAATTGGAATAAAAATATCAATACACTTGCAGTAAGCAGCCTGCCTCATCCACTACAGAACTGCAACAAACTCACCAAAATGCACATTAAATTTGGAATGCTTCGAGATGATAAGAGAACTAGATATGTGTAATCACTAAAGCTTGGATATCTTTCATCCTACAAGCTTTCTGAGAGCCACATGTCATACGTAGAGAACCACTTGGACCATCAGAAAAATCAAACACTGAATTTCAATACAAATGGGATGATAGGAACATATGAGGAGTAATTTTTCATTTACTTTAAAACTTTACGGAATGCAAATTAGCTGGTGTGTTTACCTATATAATAATAATAATAATAATCCTTGCATTTGATATAGCGTTTTTCACATCGGGAGGACGTCCCAAAGCGCTTCACAGAACACACTGTAAAGTGAATTGACTGTATATTTGCGGGCGAATGCAGCAGCCAATTGCGCACAGCAATGTCCCACATACAGTGGTAGATTGAAAATGACCAATTTATTATTGTTTTTGGTTTTGGAGGGATTATTATTAGGAGTGTGGAGTAAGGAAACTTGCCCAAGGTTTCGCCCTGCCTGGAATTGAACTCAGGTCTCTCACTTGCAAAGCGAGTGCTCTAACCACTGAGCTACAGGACTCCACATATATACAGTAATAACATTCACTTTCATATCTAATTAATTATATTTTCCAAAATGCTTTGAACGCTTTGGGATGTCTTCCCAATGTGAAAATCGCTCTACAAATGTAATTTTGTTGTTGTTGTTGTTGAGACGTTTATCTTTCATGAGAGGTGGTATATACAGTTTTTTTTTACTCAGTCGGGTGTCTGACACACACGTCAACCCATCTCCATGCTTAAGAGTATCCAAACCAAACTGAGAGTTCCATGAATCCCACCTCACATGGAAATTCCAGAGATAGATTGTTGGAATGGAATGCGCACTCTCTCCCTGGAGGGATTCATCCTGCTTATGTAATTTCAGAAAGTATTAGGCTCAGGTTGTCAGGAGCCAAGGTTTGGGGAGTCTAACCAGCTAAAACTGCATAGATTGCTATTGATAGCATTGTCTGGCAAGCTTTCCTGCTGCTTGTCCAGCTAGGACCATCCTACCCATTAGGGCTTTGGCTTGCAGGGTTAACAGGAGCCAGCTCCTGCCGATGAACCAGGATGGCTGTGCTGTCGTCAGCATTGTCCTGTATTACTACAGACCCACCTGGCTCATTAACCAGTTTACCGAGACCACAGAGGGCTGGCCTGATTCCGATATTCCATTTCCAAACATGAAACCTTGGAGCCAGTTCAGCTCAAGGAGGCTCCACTTACCTTCCTTCCCCAAGATGGAGAGTCAGGTGGCAT